GCGTCCGCACGTACTCGACCAGCGCCCGTCGGTGCAGCTCCGCCACCAGCGCCTGGGGGCGTGGGAGGAAGGGGGGGAGCTGGAACCAGGGTGCAGGGGCGCCCCCCGCCCCCACCCACTTGGAGCCGCTCCCCGTTGATAGGGGCCACGCCGGACCGCAGCCCTCCCGACCCCCCGGGGCTGTCCTTCCCCGAGGCCCTCCCAGGCCCCATAATCCGCCGCTGCTCTGCCCGGGAAGGGTGCTCCACCCCAGCCCTCTCCCTAGGCCCCACGTTCTACCTCCCAGAGGCCCCAACCCAGTCCGCACCCCAGTTCCCGCGGACACGCCTCCCGGCAGATCGCGGCCCCTGACCAGTCCCCCCGCCCCCCGCCTTCCCCCCACAGGCGCACCTGGTAAGGTTCGTCCTGCATCCTGCGCAGCGCCAGGGCCTGGGCGCCCAGCGTGCCCACGATGCCGTCCAGGGCCTCCGAGCTGCTCAGCCACTTCCTGCGCATCAGCTTGCCGAAGTGCGGCTGGGGCAGAGCGGGAGGGGGTCCCCTTCCACCCTCAGTCTTCACTCAGGAATGTGTTCCCCAATCCCTGCTCAGCGCTGAACCCCGCTTATACAGTGCTGGAGACGCCAGGGAAGGGATAATCCCCACCCTTCCCTCCTGGGGCTCACAGTCCAGGGGGGAAAACACACAGGTCCCCAGACAGCCACCACCCAGAGCTGAGATGGGGAGACTCGGTTAGGGAGGTTGGGGATGCCTGACTCCACATCCAGTGTCAAGGAGGGCTTCCTGAGGGAGGGGGTACCAGAGCTGAGGCCCTGAGGACGACTGCTGTTAGCTGGGTGAGTGGTACAGGGAGTGTCCGAGTCACAGCAAAGGTGGAGCGAAAGGTTCAGCATTGCAGAGAACCATTGCTGGGGTCCCTGGTTGGACAAGCGACATCGTTCTTAGAGCGCAGAGCAAAATGGAAACAGGCAACCCTCATTCAGTGGTGAAAAACTCGAAGGCAGCAGCTGCGGAGCGGCCAAGGAAGTGGGGCTGAGCGTGACGGGACTGCGGCGCCTGGGCACCCTGACCCTCGCTTGTGGCTTATTCCGGGTGTGTGATGGACAGTGGCACCATGAGGCTGGCCAGGTGGCAGGGCTGGGGTACCAAAAGTCTGGAACAAATGCTGCACTCCCTTCTGAGCACCCCTCTACCTCCACTTCCACTCGTTCATTTTCATTCACCTACTTTTTCATTTAGTCATTCAACAAAAACTCTCCAAGCTGGGGTGGGCAGGTAGCATGGTAGTTAAGTTCTGGACTCCCACATGGTCAACCATGGTTCAAGCCCTAGACCTGGTGGCTTGCTTTCTCACTTTCCCTCTCTCTCTGGTCAAATGAAAATAAATGAATGAATAAATAAAATTAAATAAATATTTTTAAAAAGAAAAGGAAGCGGCCAGCAGGTAGCATGGTGGTTAAGGCGCTGGAATTCCCACATGACCGACCATGGTTCAAGTCCCAAACCTGGTGGCTTGCTTTCTCAGTGAAAATAAATAAATAAGTGAATAAAATAATTTAAAAAAAAAAGAAAAAGAAAACGCTGGGACACAGTAGAGGAGACGCGCAGAGCTCGACGTGAGAGCGTCTTAAGCCGGCCAGGGGGCTGAGCATCGGCTGCTAACTGGTGCTAGTAGGTAAGACAACGACCTCGTTGGTTGTTTGTTTAAAAAGGATTCCTGGTCTTTCAGAGATACACTGAAGTGTTGCCATTTGACATGACAGGATGTCGGGGACCTTTAAAGCAGCCGGTGGGGGGCGGGGGAGCGACGA